CCGCCTTCCGCCTCTTCTTCCCCTTTGACGCCGTCCTCAGCCACGCCGGCCACCGACGCCCCCTCCTCGCCGTGCAGGTCACCGAGCTCTCCGGCGCCGTTTTCGTCGGCTGCGCCGCCAACCACGCCGTCGTCGACGGCACTTCCTTCTGGAACTTCTTCAATACATTCGCCCACGTCACCGCCTCCGCCAAGCAGATCACCCGGCCGCCGCCGGCGACGCCGTCGTTCCGGCGAGACACCGTCTTCGACTCTCCGGCAGTCCTCCCCCTCCCGGACGGCGGCCCCTCGGCCACCTTCTCCGGCGACGAGCCCCTCCGGGAGAAGATCTTCCACTTTTCCCGCGAGTCCATCCTCCGGCTGAAGGCCCGGGCCAACGGCCCGGAGCTTCAGCCTGAGATCCTCGGTAAACAAAGGAACGACAAGGACACCCACGGAAAGATAGCGATAACGCCCGTCAAATTAGATCGGATGGCCGAGATCTCATCTTTCCAATCCCTGTCCGCCCAGCTCTGGCGGTCCGTGACCCGCGCCCGGAACCTACCCGCCGAAAAAACGACCACTTTCCGAATGGCCGTCAACTGCCGCCACCGGCTCGAGCCGCGGCTCGACCCGCTCTACTTCGGAAATGCGATCCAGAGCATCCCAACTGTTGCTGCAGTCGGGGAGGTCCTCTCGAACAGGCTCGGTTGGGTCGCTGAGCGACTCCACCGAAATGTGGTGGCACACGATGACCTAACCGTGCGGGCCGGGGTTAAGGAGTGGGAGGAAAACCCAAGACTTTTCCCGCTCGGGAATTTCGACGGGGCCATGATAACGATGGGGAGCTCGCCGAGGTTCCCAATGTACGACAATGATTTCGGTTGGGGTCGGCCGATGGCGGTGAGGAGCGGCCGGGCGAACAAGTTCGACGGGAAGATATCGGCATTTCCCGGTCGGGAGGGGGACGGGAGCGTGGATCTCGAGGTGGTGCTCGCGCCGGAGACTATGGCCGGGTTAGAGAATGATTTGGAGTTCATGCAATACGTTTCGTAATTTTCGAA